GAGAGGGAGATCAGGTAACGAGGTAAGAGAGGGAGCGGTAGTGAAAGAAAAGGAGTGGATGAGCATGTGAGAGAGAGAGAGGATAAGAAGAATGCAAGAAACCGACACAGAGTGCTTGAACGATTTAAAATGCGTATGACAAAACTGAAAAAATGAAGGTTAAGAAATAGACTGAATATAACGCAAAGCTCTATATAAAAGCTGAGAATATTTTGAATAAGCGCTCAATATTGTTCAAGCTATGTAAATTTGGTAATTGTTTTGAAATATATACTATTTTAATATTTTTCAAAAAATGCCGAAAAATGAAATGATCAATGGAAGGGAAGCACAGTCTGGTGAAATTTAGGAGAAGGTAATATAAACAACTTTTTGTTTATTTTTGATAACATCAAAGAGTGTAAACGCCAAAATTTATAAAAGAGAGCACATATCTCGTTTGATAGATTGGAAATGACTGTAGATAAAAGCTGGCCGCCGACTTAAAGAAAAGTTATGGAGCTTAAGTAATTTTAGGTTGCACTTTCATTCTCTGCCGAGCGGCGAGCACAGTTAAAAAATTTAGCTTAATTTTTTTAATGAAATTTACATTCCTCAACTTTTCGGATTTTAATACGACACTTCCAGGAAATTGAAATTGAAAATTGGCAATAGCGTTTGTATTTCTTTTGGTTTTATTTAAATTGTGACAAGAGTGTAAATGCCTTATGTTTGCTATAAAATTGCGCTGAAGTAATATACCATTTTGCAAACTAAGCCTACCAGTATTTCCAAGTTAATGATATTCAATAAAGTCTAGTGAAAATTGGCAACATTGGATGTTTTGCTTTTGCCTTTTTGTTTGTCAAAGCATGAGTTGAAAGTTTGCAGAGCAAAATATAAACGTACGCATATACATTTTGTAAGAAAGGCATGTTTAATATTTAAAATCATATCCGAAATTTGGCAACAACGCTGGTTTTCTTTGTGCCGTTTTCGATACCAAAGTTTAAGATGTGAGTTTTAAACGTTTTAATAAAGAAAGACTTGTTAACTTTGCATCGTACGTTGATAAAAAATATATATGTAATATTGAAAATTGGCAACAGTGCTGCTTAGAGATCTATAGTTACTAAGGCTTAAACCAAAGTTAATTCGAAATCTTAAGCAAGAAACTGTCAGGAGACGTGCTTAAGTGATATTTGTTAGGAAGAGGAATTGAGGAAATTTAAATGCATCTTTGATCATAAAAATAGTATAGGAAAACTTAAATCTAATTTTCAAATTCTTTAATTATTTTTCTTTTTAATAAATTAATAGTTATATTATATTTAAAGTTTTATTTATTTTATATAAATATTAAAAAAATACGTTATTTTACATGGCTGTGGCATGTGGCATATATGTATTTGTGTAAATATGTATGTTGAAGTTATAAAAGTTTAATTTATTTATTTAAAATTTTTATGCCGAATATAATTATATAATATGAGAATGTATAATGCTAGCGTATGTTTATATGATTTTAATTTATTTTTTTTTTACTTAATTATTTTAATTTAGTTCATTTATATAACTATTTTTGAAATATATATTTTTTGTAGTGAAATTTTTGAGAGAATAGTTTATAAATAGTTTGACAAAAAATTAAAAAAAAAGTGTATAACAAATAGTTGTACTTTTTGAAAAAAGAAAATTCGCTATAAATTTTTTTTTACTAGCTACTGTAGGCAACAATGAGACTAACTTACTGACGAAATTTTAGATTTTTTTTGTTTACTAACTACACAAATATTTATGTAAATAAATATATTAAATATGTATAAGAATTTTATGTAGAAATTATTTAAACAAAAACAAAATTCCAACTATTGTAGTTTTGCTATTAAATAAATAAAGAAATAGTAGAGTTTCCTTTTGGTGGTATAGAAAAGTTTTGAAATCTTTGGAAATAAAAAAAAGTATTTTTCCGAATTTTTTTAAATATTTTTGGTAGTTTTCCTGACTGTGGCCATGGAAAAAAATATTGACGAAGTATTACACTAAATACTAAAATATCTAAATACACACACATCAATTACGAAAGCTCTAACTAACGGTTTTGCCATTGAAAAGTGTTTTTCTAAATAAATATGAAAGCACTAAGTTCGCAGTGTGTCACTGTGAGAGATTTTTAAATTTAAATTTATTGTTTCTTTGACTTAAGTTAAAAGAATTTTTATGTTATGGAACAAGTGAAGAGCAAGAGAGGTATAGAAACAGTTATAGTGAGCAGATTTTTTTTACCGTTGAAGCAGTGAGCAAATTATTGACACCGTTGCATTAACGAGTGAAATTGGAAAGTGTGGTTTTAAGACGGAAATCTTTTGCGTAAAAATTGCTCTCAAAAATTTTTGATTTTTTAGCGAAGCAAGAAATTGGAAAATATGAAAAATGAAAAAAAATATATATATATTCAATAATAGTTCTTTCGGCTTAGTACCCATAATTTTCCAAAAATCTAAAATGTTAAAAAAAAAACTGTGCAATTTTTTATGAAAAAACAAAATAAAAAAATAAATTAATTTCCTTTTCAACAACGAGCAGAGAAATGTATTGGAAATTTCATCACTAACTACTAGGCGTGTGTGTATTTACGTGTAAGTGAAAAAAAGAGTGCTGAGAGAAGAGTTTGTAAAAGAGACTTTTTGAAAAGTAGAATGATATTTTTTTTTCAAGAAAAAAATAGTGAATCTGCTGGGGAGAAAACTATGGAATTTCATTAAGTAATAAAAAAAGAATGAAAAAAGGGTTTGAAAAATAACCAAAAGTTGGGTCGCTTGTTTTTAAATATTTTTATTTTCGGCTGAAGTATGTTTCTAAGGTTACTCATTTTTTATTTTATTCTTTTCAATTTTTGTTGTTGAAATTTGTTCTCTTAGTGAAACCGCTTTCCCAACGAGAAGTAATAAGCTTTCAGTTTGTGAAATTTGGCAACAATGCAATTCTTTAAAAAAGTAAAATCGTAGCAACAACAGCACATAAATTTGCATGTTTACTTTTTATTAAATTTGTATCACATTTTCTTTTTTATTGACTGAATAGAAATACATTTTTTTAGAACTGTTAAAAGAAAACTGTTTAATTTCTTTAATATCGAAGGCACTTGCGATTTAAAAAAAAACCGGTTTTGAAATTTTCTGAAAAAAAATTGGCAACATTGTGTTTTCGGCAGCTTTTTCTCTACTACGATGCTTTTTTTAGTTTAGCAAATAAAAAACTGTATCTAACTTCGTGACGTTGTTTAAATATCTAAATTTTACGATAATTCTTTGTTATGAAAATTGGCAACGTTGTATTATTTCGTGGTTTTTTATCAGCTATGCGCTTTTCATTGTTCGATAAGTATATGTCTATTATAAATTTTTATATTCATGAACATTATTTATTAAAACAAATTTGATTTAAAATCCGGATAAGTTGAGAATTTAAATTCTTATGAAAATTGGCAACTCTGCGCTTCCTATAGTATTATATTGGTTAGTTTATCAAATATTAAATCTTGCTCCGTGCTATTTAATTACTTCTTAGGGGCAACACTGTAATTTGGTTAGTCATGTTTACATAAGGAAAGTAGTTTTCATTATTTGCTTTCACGAAAGAATATTCAACATTTTTTTATTCATTCCTTTTTAAGCGAGCTTTTATATACAATTCAAGATTTCAGTGAAAATTGGCAATATTGCACTTTGTACCTATTAAAGTTTTACATTTGTCAATGAGAGACTAAAATTGTTGATATGAAAATTGACAACAGTGCATACTGTCGTTTTCGCTACTTTTTTTTTGGTTAAAATAATATAATTTTTATAATAATTCAATATAAAAAACTTTACTTTTGGTAGTTATAAATTTAATGTGAAATTTGGCAACGTCGCACAAAAAAAAAAGTAATACTAATTTGAAAATTTGAATTTTTAATTTTTTCAAATCTAATTTCTAGTTTACTCTAAAAACTTTTGAGCTATTTATTACACTATTTTTAATATATTTTTTTTTTACTAAAATACTCTAAATTTCTACCGAATACTTTAATTTAATATTTATTTATCATAATTTCTTGAACAACTAAATCAATGAAAAGTGATAAGGTTGTTTGGGTACAGAAAATATATAGGAAATCATTTAATTTGGAAACAAAGGTAAAGAAGGTCTAAAGCCTTAAGTGAACAATTTGGAGAGAGGTAGAGAGAGAGAGAGAGATAGCGTAGTTTTAAGAGCTAAGTGTGCATGGGATTAAACTTGCTTTTTCATTTTTTGAGTACGCAAATAGGGAAGAGTAATTTTTTTCTTTTACGGATAAATTTAAAAAGTTTTTGGTCAAGTTAAATTATTGAACATTTTAAGAAGCAAATAAATAGAGGCGTATAAGCACTAAATTTTATATATTTTTTTTTTATTAAATAGAAGTAGAAGTAAGCTAAAGCACCCAGCATTGTGAGCACTTAAATAGTATTTAAGAAGGAAATAAAAAAGTAGAAAATTATTGAATATGTTAAAATAGAGTTATGTATATGTTTTAGAAATTAGTTGGCCTAAAATGTGAAATATTTGACGCGAGTTTTAGTCATGAATTTCTGATGAAACTCGAAATAAAAATAACAAAAATTTCCTTTTTTTCAACAAATTTGTACATTTTTCTTGACGTTTTTTTGGAGTTAATACTGTTAAAAGGTAATAAAAATTTTTTTTTTTTTTCGGTTTTTAATCAACTTAAGTTAGTGTTGTTTAGTGTCTGTGTGTTAGTAGTGTTGCTTAACGTTTTATAAACCTTTTACCATTATTTTTTTATTTTCTTTACAACTTTCCCGCCTAAAACGAATTTTTTGAACCTATTTTTTATTTTTCTCTTAACTACGGTTTCTCTATAGCTCATAATAACTAATTATTTATATACTTCTTTACATAATTACAAATATAACTTTTATTTCCATAACTTAATTATTATTTTTTTTTCGAAAAATATAAACAAAAAAACTCACCTGAATATGAATATAAAGAGTACGAGTAGCGAAAAGAACACCGCCACATTGTCCATCGTCCGCAGCATAACGAATAATTGCCTCCGCAAATTGGGCATGAAACGGACTAGTTTGAGTATGCGTAGCAGGCGGAATGTACGCAGTACTGAGAGACCAGAGCCACCACCGTGTGAACCATTGCCTGTGCGAAATTGTTGAAAAATCTCGACGACACTGAAAGTGGAGAGAGGAGATGTTTTTTAGGAAATGTTATCAGATTATCTCTTTGAAAGATTGCATGCATTGCCTGTGGAATTAATTGGAAGAAATAAAAAAAAACTATGTTTGTTTTGTGATCTTAAATGCTGATAGATTTTTATAAGGAGCTTATTATTTTATTATTATTTTTGGTTATTTTGTTTTAATTTATTTCATTCTATTACATTTTATTACATTTTGTTTAATTGTTATCATTTTAAATTATATTAATTTACTTTATTTAATTTTAATTAGTTTTATATAATATAATGTATAATATATAATATAATATAATTTTATTTGCTTCTTAATTATTTTAGATTAATTTAATATAGTTTAATTTTATTTTACTTTACTTTACTTCATTTGGTATTATATCTTTTTATTAAATTTTAATGTTTTTCATTTCCTTTTATTTGTTTTTACTTAATTTTATTAGAATTCATTTCATTGCATTTTGATTTATCTAATTATATATTAGTTGTTTTGTGGTACTTTATTTTACTTATATTTCATTTTATTTAATTTTTATTTTGTTTATATTTTATTTTATCTTTTTATTTATTTTTTTTTTTTAATTATATTATTCTACTTTATTTTATTTGAATTAAATTGATGTTCTTTAATTTTATTTTATTTCCTTTTTCCATTTAATTTCTAATTTACTTTGATTTATTTAAATTTTTTATTTTCTTATCATTATATTTTTTTATTTGAATTTATTTATTTTTATTATATGTAAAATAATATATAATATACATATTATATATTTTTTAATTTATTTAATTTTTTTATTTTATATTGTTAGATTTTATCTTTTTTTGATTATACATTAAAATACTTTATTTCATTTTATTTTGTTTTTTTGTTTGTTTATAAATTTGTTTTGTTTTATTTTATTTTATGTTGTTTTATATTGTATTATTGTATTTTATTTCATAGTATTTTATATTATTATATTTCATTTCGTTTTACTTAGTTTAATTTTTTTATTTAAGTTGATTTAATTTAATTTACTTTAGTATACGTTATTTTATCGTATGCCCTACTGAGTTTGGTCGACACTTGTCAAGCAGACTTTGCATTCAGGGCACTCTCATAAAAGTGAAGTAAAATATTTTATGTTCAACGTCACTCATACGCCACCGCCAACCAGCAAACTGCAAACTAGAATATATCTTTTCCCAAAGTTCCACATACGCCATGTCTGGCTAACCAAATAACTTGCATAGTCCAACCAACCAAGCGGCTCTCGAGTTTATGCAAACAATTTGCACAAAAGTTAATTTGGAAATGTGAAAAATTCGTGGCATTTAAAGGAGAAGAGAGCACACAGTGTCTGTAATAGCTTAGCACAGACCGAAATAGTTTAGACAAATATATGCATGTGCACATACAAGTATGCATATGTGTTGTATAGCATATATTTAGGCAAGTACACTAAACCGTTACAAGTTAGCGCGCCATTTAGTGTTACATGGGTGTTTGAAAAAAAAAGAAGAAGAAAAAGAGGAGAAAAGTTGTGCCTGACCATTTGATTGTCGTCGTCGGTGGCCAACCAAACCGATAAAAAAGAAAAACGTTCACATGTTGCGCTCCGCCCAGCAGTGTTAGTGTCTGCGACGTCTGCTATGTGAAGCAGAGGCAATTTATTACTGACGACACCAAGCATATTCTCAACTTGTTGACTGCAGCGAGATCTCTACTAACCACTATAAGTTTGTGTGCATCATCCGGTATGAATGCATGTGCTTGTGTTGAACGGTAAGGCTAGACTAATTTCGCTTGCAGTCACTGTCGCAACGCTGCTATTCACTAACCATACAACTCGTTTTCACATTCGGTAGCAATTTTCACATTCAGCGTCGCTTCAATGCTTTCGCTTGCTATTTGAAAATCTCTCAAATACAACAAAAATGAGAAGAGTAAAAATATTTCTAGTCCTCACTTGCTATTTTTCGCCTGTTGCACACATACACCCAACAACGAAAATTGCAACAAATCTGGCTACATATTTTGACTAAGCGTTGAGCACTGCTTACATTCACCACCAGCAAGTCTCGCCTCGCCACCACCGCAACAATCTAAATCTTCGGCAATCGTATGTCAACAGTGAAATTATCACTGCTTCAACACGCCAAAGTAGCAAAAGGATTTTCATGAGCATTGAAATGCATTGTGCGCGACTGTGCGGGGGTGCGGTTGTGAAAAACGTGCGCTTTTTCTACTGTCAGTGGTGATAGTTTGCGTGTGAATGCCTGCATACCATACACATACATATACAAGTATTAGGGTGCCAGATTTTTATAATACTTTTATATAATTTAATTTTTTATTTACTTTTCATTAAACTAATTTGGGTTTATCTAATTTAATTTAGTTTAATATAAATTAATTAGTTTTAATTTAAATTTGTATAACATTTTATTTATATTTTTTTTAATCTTAATTGATTATATTGTATTTTATTTTATTTAAGTTGGTTTAATTTAATTAAATTTAATTTAGTTTTATTATTTTTTTATTTAATTTAATTTAGCTCAATTTAATTTAGTTTAATTTTATTTCTTGCATTTTGTTTTGTTTTCATTTTATTTTATTTAATTAATTTTAATTTAATATACTTAATTTGGTTCTTTATATTGTTATTTATTTTTTACGCTTTCTTTTATTTTTTTTTTTATATAAATTTATATTCACTTTATTTCATTTTTTAATGTTATTTTATTTTACTATATATATTTCAATTTAATTTCATTTAACTATTTTTTAATTATGTTTTAATTAATTTTATTTTATTTCAATTTACGTTAAATGGTTTTGTTTTTTTTAATGAAATTATGTTTTATTTTAATTGTGTAATTTTATTTTAATTTATTTTATTACATATTTTACTTTATTTAATTTTTATTTTGTTTTAGTTTATTTCGTATTTTATGTTAGTGGTCTTTTTTTAAATGTTATTTCATATTATTCAATTTAAATTAATTTTATATATTATTTTATTCAAAATTTTATTACATTATTATTTAAATTCATTTTTCTTTGTGGTTTATGAAATATTATGTTTTAAAATCTATTTTTTTTACTCCAAAATCTAAATTTCTTAACAGCGGACACATTTACAAAAAAACGAGAGTGTGTGAGCATATCTATTTTACTCAGCGCTAAGGCGTGAATTGCAAGCAAATACTCTCGTTGTCTGCTTGCAAGTGTGTATATATGTATGTATGCATACGCGTGTCTTTCGAAGGCAATTTTACAAAATTTGCATAACCATGAAATTTATTGCTCACCATAGAAAGCGAAATGCAAATATTTCTTGCTTGTTTCTGTTGTACAATAGAAAACTAATTCACAACTTACAGGTCTACGTACATATATAAGTTTGTGTAGGGTAATAAAGTATTTCAATTTGTAAGCGATTAGTACTTAGAGAGTGGGTTTTAGTATCGCCATTTCCGGGTTTCAATGTTAAAGTAGCAACATGGAAGGTTCATTGGGCGAGACATTTAAAGCAAACTCTGGATTTTACTTTTATTAAAGCCGAACACGAGAGCTTCAAAACATTGAAACTTCCACCACAAACCAGCCAATCCAAATTTTAAATAGAGTCAAGTTACCACTCACCTTAGTATCACAATAACGCCATCGAAGACATTGAATCCATTTGCAATATAACGAAACGGTCCCTCCGCGATCACCTTCAGCAACATCTCCACTGCGAATATCGCCGAAAAGACAATATTACTCTTCTCCACAATGGCCGTCAAGTAATCGGGTTGCTTGTGATACTCTATGCCCATGGAGAGTGTATTGATGAGAATAGCTAGCAGAATGCCCTGTTGAAAGTATTTATGCTCCACCAACAGCTTGATGTAGCGACGCATCACACCACAAACCCGCATTAGACATCGATAAACTTGAATTAGGATTTTCATTGGACGCGAGTGCTGCTTTTTTTCACCCAGCGGTGAGAGTGCATTCTGATAGAGATCATAACAACAGGAATAGTCTTCGATGTAATTGCCCGTTGTTGGGATGATCGCACTGTTGCCGGCATTGTTCGAGCTATTATTATCCAAACGCTTGGTTAATGCATTCGGTTGTTGTTGTTGCTGCTGTTTGATTAATTGCGTCTGTTGACGATTGTGTTGATTTTTCAACGCTTCCGCAGTGTGTGGATCACAACGCGCCAAAGAGGTGTAAAAAGATTCCAATGTACTTTGGCCGGTGGGTAGGGCCGCTGAAAAGGCCACAGAAAATGCTAAAAGCTCTTGACATGTCATCGCGTCGTGTATACCGAGTTCGGAGCAATCAGCGTACGGGTTGGCTATGGTGCTGCCGCCGCCACTGATTGTTTGGGGGAGATTGACCTGAGTGTGTGGGAGAGGATGGAGAGAAGAGACGATGTTACAAAGAAATCTATTATTCAAGTAGAACTTGTAGAAGGATAGATAGAGGGGAAAAAAATTAATATACAAAAACTAGATGTAGTTTAGTGACGAGACCTGGAGGTTAAGAGAGAGATAAAAACTCAAATAAAATCAACTAACAGCAAATAAAATCCAACAAAATAAAATAAAATCCAAAAAAAAAAAATAAACTAATTAAAAAATAGATTAAAAAAATAAAATAAAATAAATTAAAATAAAATAAAATAAAATAAAATAAAATAAAATAAAATAAAATAAAATAAAATAAAATAAAATAAAATAAAATAAAATAAAATAAAATAAAATAAAATAAAATAAAATAAAATAAAATAAAATAAAATAAAATAAAATAAAATAAAATAAAATAAAATAAAATAAAATAAAATAAAATAAAATAAAATAAAATAAAATAAAATAAAATAAAATAAAATAAAATAAAATAAAATAAAATAAAATAAAATAAAATAAAATAAAATAAAATAAAATAAAATAAAATAAAATAAAATAAAATAAAATAAAATAAAATAAAATAAAATAAAATAAAATAAAATAAAATAAAATAAAATAAAATAAAATAAAATAAAATAAAATAAAATAAAATAAAATAAAATAAAATAAAATAAAATAAAATAAAATAAAATAAAATAAAATAAAATAAAATAAAATAAAATAAAATAAAATAAAATAAAATAAAATAAAATAAAATAAAATAAAATAAAATAAAATAAAATAAAATAAAATAAAATAAAATAAAATAAAATAAAATAAAATAAAATAAAATAAAATAAAATAAAATAAAATAAAATAAAATAAAATAAAATAAAATAAAATAAAATAAAATAAAATAAAATAAAATAAAATAAAATAAAATAAAATAAAATAAAATAATCGAAAAGTTGAAAAAGTCAAAAGTGATTAAAATTTTTGATGAATTGGAGGTTTTTCGGGAAACAAAGAGGAATTGGTACACCAAAGAGGGAGGAATATCTAAACACCGAAAAGTACAAATGAGCAAGGCATGCCATGTGTAGAAATTATATGTTGAAAATAATAAAATTGGAAATGTGTATTTCCCACCTTCCTTTGTTTTTTAAAAACTCACCTGCCATATGCTGCCATCACCAGCCTGTGTCATTTTCTCCGACGAACACACTGTACCGCTCTTATCGGTCACATTTGTTGTTGTTGTTGTACCAGCAATAGTTAACGGTTCACTTATAGCAGGTGGTGTATGCAACAGCACATATTCATTGAACATCACCGAAGGACGACGGCTAGCCGAGGTTGGTGGACTAAGAAAGCCCGAAGTGCAGGGATTGCTCTGTGGAGGGAAGGTGGGAAAGGGTTGACGAGAAAAGAGAAAAAACGAAAAGGAAAAATACAAACACAAAACAATAAATGGCGAAGGGCAAGTGAATGAGGAAGAAGAAAATGTGGATTAATAAAGTTTTGAAAAATTTTATAACAAATTGTATTTAAATATATTTTCTTTAAGGAACACTAACGAACTTTTGTTTCAACAAAGTTTTGAGGTTAAATAACTATTTGTATTTATATACCATACATAAAGATTGTAACTGAAGACAAATGGACTAATTTACATACTTTTTCAGCGTAGGCGTTGAAAAGTTTTACAAATTTCATATATATATTTATACATATATATATATATATATATATATTTTGATTTTACTATATACAATTTTTTCTTGTTTAACATAATTTTGGCATCTCAAACAACTTGGTGGTGTTGGTCACAAACATGTCAAAAGTGTGATTATTTAATAGAAATTAATTTAAGAAAATATAAAAGAAGCGGGGTATATATTTACAGTGGTGAGTAATGAACGAAATACTGCGTAAAAAAATAGAAAAGTTGAAATTAAAGTGAAAAAACTTCACTTCACATATCTATACCTTGCCTAAGTTTCCCAACTGCAGCTAAATTGTTGTGCAATCGATACAAGTAGTTTATAAAAAGTATTTAGAAAACGCCCAAAAATATATTTGAAATGGAACAGAGTAATAATTGGGACTGTGTTGAATTAGTTGTGTACTTGTAGTAATATCTGATTGACAAATTGGTTTCAATTTCAACGTTTTTGACTATAAGTTTTACGACTTTTCGACGAAATTAATAAAAGTAATTCGAATTTCTAGAGTCTTCGGCTACTGCGTGGACGGATATTCAATTTTGAGATTATGTGTATTTTGTGGTATAAAAAATGTATACTAATTTATTTTGCGTAGTCTTGCATTTGTTTTGAGTATTTATTGATTTTAAAAAATTTATAAAATATTTAAAGGCACGATGATTAAAAAAAATATATTTGCTTTTGGAATTTTTTATCGTTTTTATGGGTTAAAACAAGTAAGTCAATTATTTAAAAGTCAATAATTTTAAATTTATCGATAACTCATCGATTTTTTTGATATATTTATGAAAGATATATGAAAATGATTTGTTTGTTTATAAACGAAAGCACTATTACTAAAATAAACAATTTATTTTCAATCGATAACTCATTTCCAAAATATCAAAAATTTTAAATTCGATAATATAGCCATTGTAAAATGTTAATTTTTTTACTTAAAATTAAACCTAAATACTTAAATTCTCGCAGAAATGGGCAGACAAATTTGCTTGCCCTTAAATTTATTGAAATTGATAATCGATATTTAAATTAATTGAATTTCTGAAATATGTATATTTATAATTTTCTATAAATCAGATAATTTTTTATATTTGATTTCGATAATAATTCAATTGAAGCCGTTAAGTAATATAAAACACAAATTATTTCATTGAAATCGATAATTTATCTATTTATTAAAAACTTTTTTTTATATTCCAATGAATTTTTATTAATTGTGAAAAGCTTAGCAATTTATTCGATTGTTTATAATCGATAAATCGTTTATCGATTTCATCTGTTTGAAAGAAGTACTTAAGGATATATTTGATTTATCCCAGATTTATGAAAAAATAACTAATATATATCGAAAAATACCCATTTATTTTATTGTTTTTAGCAAACGAAATTTGTTATTTGTTATATGGAACGTCCAATAAATAAACTATATCAGATAAATACATTTATTTATTGTGGTGAAGTCGTATATTAATTCAATGTAAGGTTGCTTGATTAAAGTTTAATTTTGCTTAACAAAATCCATCAAAAGAATTAAATCTTAATTATCTGGTCTACAATAATTAATTATTTTAATAATTGGATTATTTTCCATGGCAGACATAGATGAAAAATCGATGTAGTGTCGAAAGTTATCGACTATTTTAAATTCTAGTTCTCGATAAATTATTATTTTTGACTGAAACTCGATTAATTATCGAAAACTTATCGATTATTTTGCTTGTTTATGGTTGATAGTAAAAGAAAATATCGGTTATAAATGGCTTAAAATCCGAGTTTATTGACCAACATCGATAACCAAAAATTTAATATCGATTATTTTATTTGACGAAAAGTATTACAATCATTAACAAACGGTATCGCATTATTCAAAAATAATCGACTTAATTTTAATCATCGTGCCTCTCCGAAATAAAAAAAAATTGTATTAAATTTTTAATAATTACAATGCAAATTTTCAACAGAACTCACAATCAATTGCTCCGTGTCCGGAAATTTTAGTAATATCGTCTTTTGCTGACTCGCCTGTTGATTACCCGGCGATTGTTGTTGCTGTTGCTTCGCCGCATCCGGTGTCAAATGATTTGACGATTTTTTTAAATTCGAATTACGTGTTGTCTGCTCTAGCGATTGCACGGAGTTTTCAGATGAAGAATGTTGTTGTGGCTGTGTTGTTGTTGTTGTTGTTGTTGTTGTTGTTGTTGTTGTTGTTGTTGTTGTTGTTGTTGCTGCTGTGGTTGCTGTTGCTGTTGACCAACAACACTTATATTATTGTTATTGATATTATTTGGTAAGCCTGTATTGGCAGTGCCATTTACTATAAGCGGCAGTATTGTTGCTGTTACATTTGTTGTTGCTGCTGCTGCTGCTGTTGGTGTTGTTGCCACAGCCACAGCGCCGTTGTTCGGTAAATTCGATGCCGCTGTTGTTGCTTGCAATGTGGCGGTGCTGGTTATTGTTGCTGTTGCTGGTGATGATGTTGTTGTTGCCACGTTATGATGATTGCGCGTGCCATTTGCTGCAACAACAACACCAACACCACCACCACCACCACCACCACCACTACCGCCAATGCTGCCATTATTGTTGTTGTTATTGCTGCTATTGCTCACATTATTATTATTGGAATTTAACGGCACCATAACGGTGATCATTTGATCCTGTATGCTCGACGGCTTCCGATTGCCATATTTGGGGCACTTCGGATGATGGCATTTAATGCGCGATGGTGAGAATGTCAAATTGTCGGCGTTCGGCAGGAGACCTTCGTTGCGTTGTTGTTTTTGATATCTATTTAGTATTGAAATTGTTGTTGTTTTTCGTTTTTAATTATTAAGCGAGTGTGTCGTTTTTGATTTATGACAGTTGACAGTTGACAATTGACAGTCGAGAAGAGCGTGTGTGCGTGTGTGAACATTTTGTTGGCATTTCACAAGCATAAACATGTATCAGCATGCACAGACATGCATACATTTGTCATTTACGACGATTTCCGTCGGTTCATCAACACCATTGTTGTGCACAACATCATCAAGTAGCGCCATTTGCATGTCATTGTTATTGTTTGTTGTTGTTGTTTTGACACATATTTTGTTGTTGTTTTTTTGAAACATTCAAATGAAAGAAGAAGAAGCATAAATAGAGAGTAAAGTGTAAATATTAGTGTCAAATTGCCTCGGTATGTACGTATTTTTTTCGTTCAAAAATTCATTCTCTTTGCATTTCTTTTATCATGCCTGACTGATTAGCTGACTGCTTGACTGACGGATTGACTGATTGTTATTCGAGTTTTTTTTTGGTTATCTCGTGTCTCTGTTGGATTGTGGTGAGTTTTTGTAGGAGATGGTGAGTGATTGACAATTATATGTATGAATATGTACGTACATACAAGCACACGCAGGCAAATGTTTGTGTTCTTTTTGGTACAGGGTGACTCAACTAACACACGATTTATTTTTTTATTTCTAATATAACTTTTTTTCTTTTTTTGCGAATTTTACTATTAATTGTTGAAAGTATAAAATTTTTTTTTCTACAAAAAGACATTTCTTAGAAAAACTAGAGTTAGAAATCTTAATCAAAATGGACTCTACTGTCACATAATTTGTGGCAGTAAGAAGATGGAGTGACTACTGCATTACCTTCAAGCAAATTATACAGCTACTGCGAACACCCTGTGTTTTGCTAGAAGCAATTTTCGACAATTACTGCTGAAGCGAGTTTTGACCCCGCACCTCCTCTAATTTATAGTCTTGCGTCTTGATGCTCTTCAACAAACGCCTCCGAATGCCTGATGGTTTTATACGAAGTGGTTTTATTTCATACATACATACATTCACAGAAGATGACATTCCCTGCGAAGGGGCGACCGCAATAAGAACATCTAACTTAATTATTCTTTCATTTAAATTTATTTTCCAGAATTTTTGATGTTAATAGGACCAGGACTCGAACCCTGGTCTTCCGAAGGACAGTACGCAAAGCTGACCATTCGGCTATCGACAATTAGGAGACGCTTAATAACGTTCTCTGCAATACAGCCTGTACCTCGAGGTTGTGCCAAGTCAATAGTAGAATCCCTCGATGTGGCGTGCGCATCTTGTATGTGAGGGTTGCAGGTGGGTCGCATACGTGGACGATGTGATGCTTATAGTCAGTGGTAAATTTTTAAATATTTTGTTCGATTTCGATGGGTTATAAGTCCCAGATGGAAAGAACCCCTATGGATCTTCGAGCGACTCCAATGTTTTTCGGGAGACTCGAAGCAATGTAACTCCAAGCTGTCGTCAGGTGGCTCCCTCTTCATCGTAATTCCTCCATAATCGTACAGAAGGAGTTGGAGCTCCTGGGGAAAAGAAAATTCCCGACCCAGACCAAAGTCTGGTGGAAATATAGATATTGCAGCCTTACATCTAGAACTATCCATCGGGGAAAAGATTAAGCGGATTGTAATATTCTACAGGCACAGACTATAATAGAGGCAGTGGGCGTATAGCCTAGAAGCCAGACTATTGTAAGGGAGACCATTATTTACCTAGGTGCTCGCGTAGAACGCTTCTGGATATATAGTCATTGTACTAACGATGAAGAGACTCGGAAATCAGTTCTACGTAAGTGTTTACAACAACCTTTTGTTCCAAGAAAAACTGCCCAAGGTCGAAGAGGCTTCTACCCCTCACAAGATCACAAGTCTTACACACATCGTGGTGGTCACCCAGAATTTTCCAAATCGTATCCATAAAGTGGAATTTGGGATTTTAGCGTATCGTCGCTTGCTGAGTTTTCTAAAAGAGTTGATGAAATCATCTGTGGAATTTTATCTGAACTGATTTACGCTCACAAGGCTAAGCCTAAATTTTTATATCTCAGCTTTGATGTAACTTTCTCCGTTTCTCGGTATAAAAAGCGAAGTAGGTGTATGAACCCCAGAGTCCTTACATGCAAGAAAAAAGTTCATAAATTAAGAACGTTTTCCTGCATTGGTCAACTTCCTTCGAAGGATGAGTTGATATTTTCCTGAGATGAAGCAAGTAAGCTTCTCATTTACAAAAGGAGGAGCTTCATTCAAAATGTTGTGAAGCCTTGTCTTCGTGACTTTAAGTGAAAGTTCTTAGAACGAGGGGTCAGCTCATTTACTGTCTGGGAAGAAAAAATTCTATCTGGCAACAAGAGTTTTCATTTTTCTGGAAAACTGGTATCACCAGATAATTACGTTCGCTACGAAATTGTCGTTCGACTTATCCAAACCGAGTTGTACAAAATGGCAGTAAATCTGCCGCCTCAGCGACAACTCGAGCTCCTCCAATTGTAGCTTTGAAATTTTGAATTCGAGTAATGAGCACTATACTGAGGTAAAGCGTGTCTTCTGAGTGGAGTGTAAATCAATGAGCGACTTTTTGGCAATATTGAAGAACCAATTTTGGAAAATTGTGTGAAAGCCCCGAATGACGTGGAAAATCGGTCTGAGTCATACATGGATAAGTAAGCCGAAAAATTTTGAATGATTTTTGCGTGATTTCTCTAACCTCTTAGCGACAATTAAAAAAAGTGATTGTAAAAAAGGAAATTAATTTCTTGTCTTAGAAATTATTGCGGTTCAAAACTTAATTTTGAATATATTTTTGAAAAAGATTTTTTTTTATTTTCTAAATTTTCTTATCACCAAAAATATCCATATGTTTGCATCAAGTAGAATTATTTAATTGAAAGTCTCTGCAATTTGTCGATTTTCTTTTACAAATACTTTCATTAATCACACAAACTACACTCCTACACATACAAACAACAACAATAAAAAATGCTGATTTGAAAAATGGCATTCGTTTGAGCGAGCGTTGGTATGCATATGTGAGTGCGTGTGTGTGTGTGTTTGCTTGTTTATTAATGCGTATATTTTTGTGCGTGTGCGTGTGCATTTGCTTGCAAAAAATCCTATGCAAAATATTTTTTTTGTTATTTTTTGTCAAAAAAAACTCCCACTCAATATCACTAAATCAATATTTTATTTTATTAACTAATTCACTAACTAAAGGACCATAAATAAATTTAATGAACGCAAAATTGCATGCAATGTGCGGGTTTTTCACCATAATATTTACATACATACTTGAGTATGTAAAAAAAAAGAAATTAATAAAAAATTATAATAAATTATATAAGTATAAATAGAAACTCTTTACATAAGCAAAAAGCAATTGAGTTTAATTAACTGTTAGTAAACAAATTTTAGAATGGAATAAAAAAAGAAAATATTGCAGAGTAAACGAAATATTTGGTTATGTAAAAAATATGTTAGTAAAATATTAACTAATTTCCAAAGCGTATAGTTGGTCTAATTGATTTGCTGAGCTCAGTTGTTTGGTCATTGCGTTCGCTACGCGCATTTTAAGGTATTCAAAATTCTTATAGTACACTTTTGGGCGTTACACGTGGCAAAGACAATTTCTTTGTATTAATAAATTTTAAATGTTTTTTTTTTGTACTTCAATAAAGTGCATACCCTTGGCAAAATTTCAAACTAGAAAACTATTCAACTGTTAGTATGTCTTTGCACCTTTCCCATAGCTGTTGCCTACATCTTGGCGTTTATCAGAAAAATTTGATATAATTTGTAAGCCTAATTTATCTTGAATGCATGTTATATATTACAAAGGTGGCACAATAACGCTTTCAATATTTAAGCTTTGGAAGAATAGAAAAAAATTTAAAAAATCAGCGCCACTAAATTATATATTTTTACTAAAAAAGAAATAACAAAAAAATATCCAAGTCCACTTTTGGGTATGTAGGCGATACTTAAACGAAAATTCACACTTAGACATTAGATTGAAGCTTTCATAATAACGCTTTTTAAGGTGGACTTTTAATTTTTCAAGGAATATTTTCCTCGAAAACATAATATATTGCTGAATAAAATTTTGGTATTATTTTAAAGCCGACTTTTAGGTACTCAATCATCTTTACACAAAAAATGACACTTGCCTTTAGGCGCCAGACTAAAATTATGATAATTTGGACATTAAGTAGAATTATATACTTTGGAAAAAAGTATTTTCCTAAAAAATATTGACTTTTGGCTGAATAAAATTTTAGAATTTTACTAAAATCTCTCTGGGTTCTTAAGTTCTTAATTGTAAAATAGGCTGTATATTTTTAGGCGCTGCATCAAATTTTGATATCTGATTCTAGCATAATTAATTTTATGTGCTTGGTTCTTTCCTCAAGAATATAAAGCTTTCGACCGAATGATATTTAGAGATTATTCAAAAGCTTTCTACTATATGCTTGGGAATTGAAAACAACCTCTAAGACTGCGGATACGAGTTTTAGATTATATAAAATGTTTGTCTAAAGGCAGAACCGATTCTCTTTTTGTTTTGCATACAACATTTTTTTGGACCTAAAAAGATTTGATATCACTCTAATGCTAACTTTTAGGCACTGGTACATTTTTTAATGAAAAATCAGTGCTTTATACTTTTACTTTCAAAGAAGAAAACAAAAAAAAAAAAAACAATTTGAATGAAGACTACTTGAATTGAAGATAACCTTTTACTAAGTCTTAGAAGGGAGGTGAGAGGTGGAAAATATTGAAAAAAGTTCGGTTTAACTTAAAGGCGAATTTATAAAATTTTGAAATATATTTTGAAATTATATGGCTTTCAAGTTTTATTTTGCCTTCCCTAACTCTTTTTTACAGACTGCTATTTGTATTTTTAGAAACTACAGTGGTGGCACGGAATTTTCGGAGCATAGCATTAGGCGCATTTTTGCATATTTTTTTAATTTTTTTTTATAAAGTAAATATGCTTGCTAGAGTGTTGTGGCTTTTCTTAAAGCAAATGAAAAATGAAAATTAAGACAACAGCTCAATTTCTCATAAAAAAGAGTTAATTAAATTTTTTATTAGTTTTAGTTATTAATAGCTGTAATGGATTTTAAATAGAAGATTTTTTAAAGCGGGAAGAAAACCACTTAAATTGCCCGCAAAAAGGATATATTTGTGAGCTGATTTTTGAAGGAAAGGATTTTTGTTGCATACTTTTAGGCGCTTTGAAGCTACAACGTGCATGAAAAATACCTAAAAATTTGATTTATGAATTCTAATACCTCTTGCAGTCGTTGAACACACTTTAAAAACTCATACTTTCAGATGTAAATGTTAATGAAAGCGTCAATTAATGCAAATTTTCATGTAAAGATTTTCTGCAGTTACTTTTTTTATTAAAAGTGATCATATAATGTGTTTTATCACCCATTTTCAGGCGAATGTTGTCACTAATTTTGAGTATACTTATGGTATAGTTACAAATTAAGTCAATTTATCTTAAAACTGTTTTGGTCATTATAATATATGCTTTCATAGAGCTTTCGTTTGTGACTGCGGTGGATTTTCGATCAAATTTATTTACAAATCCCTGATAAATGAGTTGTCAACTACTAAGGGGTTTGCTACTAAGAGAACTGCATTTAAATATATTAGGGAGGTGTCTTTGGTTAGTAGTTTTCTACACTCTTCAGTTAATTTCATTCCATTTTCCTGACTGTTGGTTTGGGGGGATTTATGTAAATATTTACTGAACTGTAACTGAAAGTATCACGAAACAAACAAAATAATCAAATCAAAACAATAATAATCATACTTATATAATCTGTACTTCTTTAACATGCGTCGCTTGAAACGCCGCCAAAGATGTGCGATGTATTTGACAATCTCCGCATAGCACGTGGCCGGCTCTGAATTGTTCGTACTCGATGCCAGTGTTGAGGTGGATGTGTAGCGTGCACGCTCTTGTCGCATACGTTCCATTTCACGTTTTTTCGTTTCTGAAAATTGTGTGGCAATGACGACCAAGCACAGGTTAATCATGAAAAAGGAGCCGATCTGTGAGGTAGAGTGGAAAGGAAGAGAAAAAATGTTAAAAATTTATAAAAAATTCTGAAACTTCTATAAGTTTTAAATATACGCATACATATTAATGAGATAATTTTGTTTAGCGTATAATTTCTGAACATTTTATTACGTTGCTTTGCTTGCTCTTCAATAGTAGTTAATAAGTCTTGCGAAAAACGGTTGCCTACATTGAGGCTTGTAGTAAAAGTTTTTATAATATATTTTTTGAGCTTAAAACTCAAGGATTATTACTTCCAAAAGCTGTCCGTTCTTTATTTATTTGCATAAAAAATTAATAAAAGTCACTCTTAAGCATTTGAATTATTTACTTAGGCTGAAAGCTTAAGGTCCGAAATTAAAAAAAAAATTGTTTAATATTATTTTAGAGCTTTTGAAGTATTTGCTTACTTAAAGCCCCAGGGTTGTGATTTCCAAAAGACTGGTAGTAATTAGCTTTTTTTCGCTTAAAAGATTTTTATGCAATTTTAGAAGTTTTCATGCATTAATAAAGCCTTTAAATGTGAACTTATTGATTTTTTTTATTGGTAAATATATTTTTTGAACCTAGGACTATATCTCAGCTTCCTAAATTAATTTTTAATATCATAAAATACTGGAATTTTCCAATTTTGCTATGAGTTTTCTGAACCGGATGCAGTCCGAAACGGCGCCGTTGATGGAGTTCGTGTGATACATCTGAAATAGTCGAACCAAATTCGTTTTAATTTTTATGAGTGTTTTTTTTTTCTATATGCAGACCACTGCCTTAACCGTTTTTCAATTCAAAACACCTCTGCATCATTTAGGTGGTTACATGAAAATAAAAATGCAGAGTATATTTTAAGGGGCTTGCTTATTTATGGGGCAAATTTATACAAAAAAAATTGCCATGCTCTGACAGGTATAAAATATTTTTGAAAAGAATTTCGAATTTTTCATGCATGCATTTAGGCGCTGTTTTTTTTTATTAAGACTCACTTGAACGACATAGCTGCAAAGCTACTATGCTAATAGTTGACGTGCGTGACTTGTCAGCAATGCTTCAGTCACATATTAACACATTTGTGTAAAGTAATCGTTGTTGTTTTTACATTTTTGTATGAAAACTTTTAATAGTTGCAATCTGTATAATTCCACACAAGGCAATATGCAATAGCAGGGTAAGGTAGTGGTAGACAAAATGTATTTGTTATACACTTTTGTTGATCTTGCTTCAGTTATAAATACAACAACTAGTACTAACTTTTGGAATAATAAAATTTGTGTTTTGTCGCTTACAGTGGTCAGCCTTAAAAGCCACAACTACGGCAAGCAGTCAGCTTAACTGTGTAGCTGACCAGTGCTTTGAGGTGTTGAGGGTGTAGATAATACTAATATATATATCTCTCTATATGTATTTATATATTTTATTTAATAAATGTATATGGCATAACGAGTTTCTAATGCAAAAACTTTATCCTTCTAAGGACCTACCGACCAACCGAGCAACGGACGAAGTTTTTGACTGAAAAATTGCAACAGATTTTCATATTCTATTCTCTTGTAGTTATTAAATTTACATTTTATCTTAGATTTACATACATGCTTGCATATACAATGCAAGTGTGAATTTATTTATTTCTGCATGCGCCTGCGTGCGTATTTGTGTATATGTGTGTGTTTGTAGCTTGTTGACATGCCAAGGAATTATGGACAATTGCAAGTTTGCTTTGTGACCCATTTTCTGTTGGCAATGAAATTTTCTTGCTTACGAAAAACTTTTTAATTTATAATTTCAAATTTACAAGAGTCAAATGGTCGCTCTACAAGTCAGTCAGGCAGGCAGGCAGGCATGCAGGCAGTGAGGCATTCAGCCAGCAATGCAGTCATACACAAAGTTCTTCCTTAGAGTTAACTGTTAACTTTATATTACCTTCCTTCACATGTATTTACGTTTGCAAACATTTCATGCCAAAAGCTTGCTTTTCAAATTCTGTTTGCTTGATATTTTCCAGAGTTTTTTTTTAAATTTAAGTGCTACATGTCGTATACGTAACATTTACTTTTATGCTTTTGTAGAAAGTTCGTTTTATAAATATGACATTGTGGTTTTTTTTTCTTAATATTTTTCATTTTCTTTTCGTAAAATTGAAATGCTAGTCTGTTGCTGTCATTTTAATGTTTTTTTAGATTATTTTAATTTATTTTCTTTTTTTCATTGTTTTACCTTCTTTATTTTTTGTTATTTTAATTTCATTATCTTTACTTTTATTTGAAACTTCTTAACATGCCAAGGAAATGTTATTGAATTATTTTATTTTATTTTATTTTATTTTATTTTATTTTATTTTATTTTATTTTATTTTATTTTATTTTATTTTATTTTATTTTATTTTATTTTATTTTATTTTATTTTATTTTATTTTATTTTATTTTATTTTATTTTATTTTATTTTATTTTATTTTATTTTATTTTATTTTATTTTATTTTATTTTATTTTATTTTATTTTATTTTATTTTATTTTATTTTATTTTATTTTATTTTATTTTATTTTATTTTATTTTATTTTATTTTATTTTATTTTATTTTATTTTATTTTATTTTATTTTATTTTATTTTATTTTATTTTATTTTATTTTATTTTATTTTATTTTATTTTATTTTATTTTATTTTATTTTATTTTATTTTATTTTATTTTATTTTATTTTATTTTATTTTATTTTATTTTATTTTATTTTATTTTATTTTATTTTATTTTATTTTATTTTATTTTATTTTATTTTATTTTATTTTATTTTATTTTATTTTATTTTATTTTATTTTATTTTATTTTATTTTATTTTATTTTATTTTATTTTATTTTATTTTATTTTATTTTATTTTATTTTATTTTATTTTATTTTATTTTATTTTATTTTATTTTATTTTATTTTATTTTATTTTATTTTATTTTATTTTATTTTATTTTATTTTATTTTATTTTATTTTATTTTATTTTATTTTATTTTATTTTATTTTATTTTATTTTATTTTATTTTATTTTATTTTATTTTATTTTATTTTATTTTATTTTATTTTATTTTATTTTATTTTATTTTATTTTATTTTATTTTATTTTATTTTATTTTATTTTATTTTATTTTATTTTATTTTATTTTATTTTATTTTATTTTATTTTATTTTATTTTATTTTATTTTATTTTATTTTATTTTATTTTATTTTATTTTATTTTATTTTATTTTATTTTATTTTATTTTATTTTATTTTATTTTATTTTATTTTATTTTATTTTATTTTATTTTATTTTATTTTATTTTATTTTATTTTATTTTATTTTATTTTATTTTATTTTATTTTATTTTATTTAATTTTATTTTATTTTATTTTATTTTATTTTTGTTTATTTTATTTCATTTTATTTTATTTTATTTTATTTAATTTAATTTAATTTAATTTAATTTAATATAATTCTTTTTATTTTAATTTAATTTAATTATATTAATTTAATTTAATTTAATTTAATGTAATTTAATTTTATTTTATTTTATATTACATCGTTTTATTTTATTTTACTTCATTTCATATTTTGCTTATTATTCTGGTTTTTTTTTATTTTATACTTTTTTCATTTCATTTTAATTTGTCTTATTTTAGTTTCCTTAATATTAATTTAATTAATTTATTTTAAATTTAATGTATTTAATTTAATTATTTTTCCTGTTTTATTTTATTTTAGTTTTTTTTAAAAAATTTTATATTCTCGCTCACTGTGTGGTTAGGTAAAATGAACACAGTAACCACACGTATGTCAACAAGACGAATTTGTGGTTAGAATTAGTAAAGATTTTTTTGCATCGTCCTGAAAAACAAATGTTGCTGTGGACATATATAAAAGTACACATAGAAATGTACATATGTGTATGTGCAAATATGTGTATTTTTAAAATGACTGCGCTTGATAAGTCAAGTTTTTCCGCTTTTTGAAGTTTTCCTCCTGCCCACAACGTCCTTGCTGCTGTCTGGCATAACCTCAAACTGTCATAACCCAGCTAAGTTGCCACTCATTGAAAACAGTGAGCAAAGGAAAGAAGTTGATGGGGAACAACACAATTTCACTACCTACCCACGTTTGCACTTATTTGTATTCCTAACCAGGGCAATGCTTGACGAAAGCGCTACCATTGCGTCTGTCCTTGCTTTGTCTGAGGACACGCCGCTTATCTCCACACTGGCTCACAGTGGCTGCGACTGACAATGTGCCAGCGACAGACATAGTTTTTATGTTTTTTTGTGCCTACTTTTATTCTATTCCTTTTTCTTTGAACTTTTGTGCATTTTTTTAAGTTTTCCTTACTCTCTTTTTACCCATTCTGTAGCGGCAGCAGCTGCTAACGTTATATTTCCATTTCAAACTTTTTCACTTTTCAGACAAAGTGCCATAATGACTCACATATAGAGGATTGAACTTTGTAAACTTGTTTTTTTTTGTTGTTGATGTTTTTGTGGTAGTAGTTGTTGTTATAAAGTTGTTGTTATAAATTTATATGTTTTGCTTGATCGTTGTTATTGCTGCTCGGCTCTGCATCCTGTTGCGCATTCAATACGTTTGTGGAGCGAAAGGTAGAATGCTGAGGTAAACATTCTGCTGAGCTCCGATGTTGCGATCTTGTGTGGTGAGGACTGTGGGTTATAAGTGCAGAATCCGAATTTATTAAAACCTTTATTGGTAGGCAACACCTTCGGTCTGTTAAATACTTGTCTAGTATCGGGCGGTTAGCAAAATATCTTTAACTGAACTTTTTCATAAACTCATATTGTCCTCTGTCTCAGCTAAGCCTCTTGTACTCTCGGCCCTAGCCAGAAAAATTACTTCGAGGTTATTTCAAATTGACCCTATGCTCGATCCAACTTCCCAATATTTATGGTTCCATAGACTCTAGAAAGAAATGGGACTGTTTGTCAAAAAGGGGACAGTCAATATGAAAGTTTTGAGGTAATTTTAACTCTGCTCCTCCACTATTGCTCAAGATTAATTTCAAGGCGGTGTGCATCACAGACCTGAGACTTCCTCTAAACTCTGCTCACGCGTGCTTTTATTCCCTTCCAGCAAATTTTTTTTGTCGCCACCACTGAGCTTGAGCAACTTTTCAAAAATTTAATTTTTTCAATTATTATATTTACTTATTTCTTTAGCAAAGTTATGCTCGTTCTTTGTTTTTCTCTTCATTATGCTTGTTGTTTTTGTTGCTGGTTTTGTGATTAAAAAAAAACAATAAAGTTTTTGAGGTTGTCATTGCCAAGCGATTTCTTGCTTGTGGTGCTGGTTTAATATTTTTTATTCACAAGAGTGAAGGGCGCCGTAAAGTAGGCAAAGCTCAGAGTGTGATGTGGATTCTGAAGGGAACATGTGTAAAAAAAAGAAAAAGTAGCGTATTTAGGCGGTATGACTTCGAAATGTTTTTTTAAGAATGTAAGATTCTCAATATTAAACGAAATCCTTGCTGGAAACTTACAAAAGCTTTGAGAGTAGAAAAAAATAATTTGACTAATTTTTCAGCTTATTATAAGTGCCATAATATATATATAATTTTATAATAAACAAGAAAAAAATTTAGAGAGTGAACTAAATATATAAAATAAAATTAGATAAAAAAATAAAAAAATATACAATAAAGTAAAATATAGTAAAACAAAATGAAAAAACTGAAAATAAATATAAAAAGATTAAAAAAAAATAATAAAATTAATTACCACAAAATAAAATAATTAAATAAATTGAAATAAATTTAAATGCAATCATAAAAACTGAAAAAAATATAAAAAAAATAAAATAAACTAAAATATAGTGAAATAAAATAACGAAAAAAAGAAAATGAAATGAAAAATAATTAAAACAAATAAAAAAAAAAATTAGTTACAAAAAAAATTAAATACATAAAATGAATAAAAATTAAATAAAATCTTTAAAATGAAATAAAATGAAAAAAAAATAAAAATAAAATAAAATAAAGTGAAATAAAATAAAGGAAAGAAGAAAATTAAAAAAAAAATAGAATAAATAAGTGAAATGAAATTAAATAAAATAAAATTATAAAAGTAAAAAACAAAGAAATAAAGAAAAAAAAAAAAAAAAATTAGTAAGTAAAATGAAATAACTGAATACATGAAGAAATAAAACAACTAAAAATAAAATGAAAAAAAAAAAAAATTGGATTCAATAAATGAATATATAAGAAATAGAATAATTAAAATATAATAAAGTAAAATATAATTTATTTCACATTCTTTGATTCTCTGCAATTTACGTCCCATTCTGGCTGTCCCACCTTCGCTCTTTTTCTAAGGTAACATTAATACTATAAAACTCATGTCCTGTGGCTTCAGCCAAATTGAATTTGTTATCCCTAAACAAGTGCTTGTTTGCTTGTGCTTGAAGAAAATAGGCGATATTGTGTGATGCCTTTAACCAGAGTGTGCACTTGGAAGTTTATACAATCATAAGTGTTTAGAGAGATTTTAAGCTGCTTACTATTTGTGAGATGGGTCAGGTGTAAGCAAATGGCAAAATTAATGTTTGGATGTGAAAATGTTGTATTCGTCTTTAGCAAATAATTGAATTACTATAAGTACTTACGTAAATAGTTTAGGATTTAAATGACATAAATAAAATAAACCAAAAATAAAATAAAATAAAATTAGAATATATGTATGTATATAAGAAGTTTAATAAAACACATTCAGATAAAATAAAAAAATAAAAATTAATAAAGTCAATTAAAATTAATTAAATATTAAATTTAATTTAATTAAATAATTAAAAATAATAAAAATTAAAAGTTGTGTTTCAAAGCGCTTTAAGTGTTATATTTAGGTAAATTTGTAGATATTACAGCGTCCTATGCGTTAGAGGCTAGAGAAAACTACTTTAACTTAAAATTCTTTATATTCGACCTCGAAGTTTCTCTAGCAATTCAATGATACTAGTTATAAGAATAATTCATTAAAATTTTTATCATTATTACATGGGGCGTTTTTTTGTACCCATGACAGCAGAAGTGAAACGAGTTTATGAACAAAAATATGAAATAAAAGTTTTTTATGCTTTTTGAATTAAAAATTGAGGTTTACAAATGGCGCTAAATATTTCATTTTCTATTTCATTTTTCAATCAATTACCATTGCATACTTTCATGCGTATTTCTTACACTTAGAAATCAAACATTAAAGTATTTGAAGCGTGTAATTTCTATTTAAACTAATTCAGCATATTTTTCCGAATCCATTTTACAGCAGAATTCATTAAAGTCACCGCTAAATTATTAAAACAAAATTCAGCATACTTTTAGGCTGAGCATACACAAAAGATTGCGTAGACTAATTGCCTGTTAAAGTTCTCTTGCCTACACTGCTGGTGTAGTAATTTTTTCTTTTCCTGCTCATTTCCGGTCAATATTGAATTTTCTGTGTAAACATACTGTTGACTAAGCAAAAAGGACGCAACGAAACGAAAGTAAGCACCACCAAAATGTATGCTGCAATTCAGCTAAATTAAATGTTATGCGCACAAATGTAGGCAATGTAAGTAGAATGTTAAAAATCAATTGGAAAGTCAAGCGGAAATGTGGCGTGAGTATAAATAAATCAAAATGGTATTTATTAAAGTGTGCTAAGAGAGTGAGTGGATTACTGGGCGGACTTAGGTGTTGTGCAGCTGGTGGTGATGGGCTCCAGCATATGAAAATCGCACTCGCTTGATTGAACAGTCAGCAGTGAACCCGAAATTGGTTGCAGGAAAGTGGGAGAGCTACCTCAAGGAAGCAGCTGTAGCAACAAACATTTTAGTATACCTGACAGCAGTGCCCACCCTGAGTTTGGTTACCTTTTCTGTATATCGTCGGCAGGCTTAACATTTTCATGCATATAAAATATTAAATTTTTACGCTTCATTTATTCAGCATCTCCTCTTCTGGCACTCTCACACAACACATGTTATTTATACGCAATCTTCAATGCATACACTATTTTGCTTAGCATACATTAAGGCGTTGCTTGTTTGTTAACTCGTCGTTGATGTCGCCGAACTGTCTCGTTTGCTTGCTGTAAGCGCTCAGGCGGTACGGAGTCGAGTGCTTTCGCTGGAAATGATGGGCGTTTAAGCGTTTTTAGCTTAATGAAAAAGTAGTATATACTTTTAGGCGCCCAAAAGTTAAGATAAAGCGCAGCTAGTGCCGTGAAAAATGAACTAGTTAATTTGTTTCACCTTTATATACATACATATGCTCGCACAAACTCTTATGAGCCCAAAAGGTTTAATTTTTTTTTGAATTTTCAAGAAATGGAAAAATAAACCAATAAATAAACGGAAAAATAGTATCTCAAAGCAAAGCGTCCATCAAATAATTTCTAGGCGTCTTTACAAAACTTACAAGTACGAGCACATACGTATGTATATTTAAGAAGAAGAACAAAAGTAACAAAAAAAAAAAAGTAACAAAAAATAAAGGAAAACAAAGAAAGGCCAGCCTATTTGACCTTGCCTTTTGTATGCCTGCATGCGTATGTGTGTAAGTTTGTGTGTGAAAATCTGACTGTCGAAAGCTCAGTGGGACCACTTATAGTCCCTTGGCTTGAGCTGTGCGTAAATTGATTTCTTTTTTCGGCTTCTTTTTTTACCTTCTTCACACTACTTTTTTATGTTTATTCTTTCTGGTGGTGAGTGTGTGCTGGCATACACACATGTATACATATGAACGTATTTGTATTTAATGGTGGTTATATAGAAAATAGGAAAATAAAGTTTTTATATCAAAAAAGGAAATAAGTTCACGATTTCGTGGCCTCGTTTAGTGATATTTAGTTTAAATTAATATAAAATGGATTGAAGTGGCTTTAGTAGTGGTTCTTACTGGAGTAAAATAGTAGTAGTTTTTTTTCTAAGGTTTTCATTAAGTTTTCGTAAGCATGAACAGCCAATTTAGCTGAGTTTCGCTTTTTTTGATAATCATTCATTTCATTTCTTTTCAACGACTGACATAGTCATTTTAATGTGATTTAAATTTTTTAATTGTATAACATCGTGTGATCTGAAAGTCACATCACCACATCATGGATTATTATTGTTTATTATTAAAAATAAATATATATAAGAATTTTGTGCTTGAGGCTTATATACAAAAATTACAGAAATGTCGTAATTGTATATGAAACTTTGAAAAGTTAAAAAAAAAAATCATCTAGTGATCCGTACATCACGTCATCACATCAAATGCCTCGAGAGTAGAGCAAATTGTGCTCTGGAAACAGATTATATTGTCCGGATTATTGATATGTTCATTTTAAAAACTGTAAGCAGTTATAAAAAATTTATAAAAAAAATATATCCAGGAATGTAAAGATGTCTTATAATCACATCACATGTTGCCATTAACAGCTTCAAGTCGTAAGCATATGACTTTAATCGTAAATATATTATTTATAAGTCCCTCCTGAAGACTGTAAGCGGCTTTCATTTGATAAGGAAATGTGACTCGTGACCAGCTCATCACTACATCTCATCACTTCACTAGAGCATTTGCATGTGATTTAAATGTCACAACAATGCATTTAATTATAGAATTCAAATTTTTTATGTATGTATATTTCCTAGAGTTGCATAAGTGTTTTCGATAATTTAATTACAAATAGAAAAAAAAAGAACTATTACTCATCACTTGGTCACCTTATGACATGACATCATATGATTTATGACAAATTTACCTTTTTAAAGAAAATTTAATTTAATCTTAAATTAACTTAAATTTTCGTATATGAATGAATTGTGATGACAATTTTATAAAAAAAAAAAAATATGGTCAACACGTTATCACGTCGCATACGAAATTTTTTTTTTTAGCTTTTTTCAACACTCTTCAGTTTTTTCCATAAGTTTCACTTAAAAGTAGTCCAATTTTTATTATTATTTAACTATTCTATCCGGTGCACTTACCACAATCAACAGCACGAAATAGATCCAATCCCAAAAGCTGTGTGCGTCCTGTACGTAGTACATAATATCTGTCCAGCCCTCGAGTGAAATGACCTGTTTAAGAGAGAGAAGACGAAAAAAAGTGAAATAAGCGAGGAGAGAGAAGAAACAAATACATATTTTGTGTTATATATTTTAATCTTTATGTTTTATATTTTATATTTTATATTTTATATTTTATATTTTATATTTTATATTTTATATTTTATATTTTATATTTTATATTTTATATTTTATAATATATATTTTATATTTTATGTTTTACATTTATAATTTTATATTTTATATCTTATATTTTATATATTATTTCTTAAATAATTTTTGTTTTTTAATTCATTTTTAAATACCGAATATTTTATTTTTAATTTTATAATTTTGACATGAATTCAATAACAAGGCTTTTAATATTAAAGTAACATCAAGCAAAATATTAGAATTTATTCAACTTGCACAACTAAAATTTTGCCATATTTTGTAGTTGCCCATAAATATGCCACTAAGCCATTATCTATGCACAAATCGTTTAAATATGCTGTCGCCAAGGTTAGTTAGCGAGCGCATACTAATTACATTAGACCGCAGTAATAATCAACGTCTGCTACATGTATGCGCCTATAAATCTGCTACTTTACTATTGTATTTGTTATAATAAAGTTAATTTATTATTAAAATTGCAGTACTTCTGTAATTATATATATATATATATAGGTATATTAAAAATTTGCTTTCTGTGCCCTTAAAAGTATGCAATGATTCTAGATATCAGCTAAATTTGTCGTTTAATTAATTTAGCTGCGGGCGAACAAACGACCATGTAACCATACCTACATACAACGTGATGCAGGTTGACTGCTGCCTGCGATTGGTAAGAGCAAGAAGATGGCGCCCATGACTAGTATGGTTTGCTGGTACTCTCAGTGTTTGATTGCGGTCTACATTGTGGCTCATAAATTTCATTACGTCAGCGAGTCGCTACCATGAAATATGCACGGCAGTGGCAACGAGTTTAAAAGATCGATTGAATTTCGAGGTGTGCAACGGTTGGCATACGAAAATTAGTGGTTTCATCCAGATTGGCAGATTGGCGAGCGCACAGTGCTACAGCTTGCTAATTTCGAACACTATATAATTAAGTTATTTTCGTTGTTTAGGTGTGTGTGTGTGTGTGTGTGTGTGTATGTGTTTGAGTGGGTATGAGAAATACAGATTGCTGGTGGTGAAAGAGCGAGGAAATGGCGCAGGGCGGGTGGAGTATGGCTTACAAATTAACATTTTTTTGTCGGTTTTACAATCAAATTTGCTACATAAGGGTTGTTGTTGCTTGTTGCTGGATATTTGTTACAGAAATTACGAGGATGTGCCGTCTGATTTTATACATTTTGATTAATACTTTTCTTAGAATTTTGTCTATTATTAATGTGTTCAATCAATTTCAAAAGATTTTGTAGAAAAATTTAATATTAAAATGAGAGTTATTGTTTTAATATGTTTTTACTACTTTTTAATTTTACATTTTTCTCTCTTTCTTTACTAAAAAATAATAAATTTAGTTACTTATATATAAATTATAACTTAAATAATTATTTTACTCAATTTATTTAAGAAAAAATTAGGTTTTTTACTTTAGAAATATTTTTAATTTATTTTTCTAATTTATTTATATTTATAACCGATTTTCTAAAATTTATGTAAATCAATTTGTTTTATTTCCGAAGCAACTGTATAATTTCTGATAATTCGCAAAATATTTGCGCATACTTTTGCTCGAAGCGTAATATGAAACTTATTTCGTTTAGCAATGTAACAACTTTATTGCCCCTAACGGTATGCTATACAATACAATACAATGCCTGCCATTCACCTGCAGCAGCTACGTTAGCACAATACACCGGTAAGTTGCTGCGAAAAGGGAATTGAAACAAAAATAAGTAATGCCGTTATTTTAACAGGCTCACGAATATTGGAAAAGAAAATAAAATTTCAAAACTTTTTTCCACCTACATTTTTACAATCGCATTTGCCGCCTCACTTGTTGAACAAACTGCTCTAACCTGCCTTGTTTTCCAAATTAATTTCTTTGCCCCGCCGTCAACCTAAACTGCTAATGTTGCACGTTCGTTTGCAGTACTCTGCCTTTCTTTGCGTTAGGAGCTCAAAAAGTTTTTGTTGCAGCCTCCATTCTTAACTCCCCTCGTCAGTTTAGCGTTTCATTTTCACTTCCCCCGCTACTTCGTTCGTCTGTTTGGCGTAAACTTTTCAATAAACAGCATATTTTTCGACAACGACGACTTTTCTCACCAAAACAAACAAACAAACAAAAATTTTCACTTCTAACGGTTTTGCCGTAAACCCCGCGTTGCTTTTACTGTGTGCGTTTCTATGAAAAGTAAGTGGAAAATTAAATTTTGCTTAGTTCTTTCAATGGCATGATAGGAAAAGTTGTTTCGCGCGCAGCATACTTTCGTGCGTTTGTTGGTCACACAGCCAATGCAAAAGCGTGTATATATTTATTGAAAACTTTTACGCCGTCTAAACGAGATTTCGCGCTGTTGCACGGCCACAAAGTGTGGCAACTACACATAACCGATATTTTTGGTAGTATTTAGTGTTTAATAAATTTTTGTTGCATACTTTTGTGCTGTGTTGTGCTGCTGCATGGTTATCGTGTATACGGCTAGCAGGTTTGCAGATAATTCGAATGGAAAACTTATAATTAAGTTTTTGCTAATTTCTATGCAATTATAGAAATTTTTGTTGCATATTTTTTTGCGTAATTATGGTGATAAAGCAAAATTCCTTTACTAAGAGTTTGTATTAACATACATTGTGCAGTTGCAGTGACTACAAACTTTATATAAAATATTATCAATGCATTTGGAAACTCTAATAAGCATAGCGCCTGAGGATATGCTGAAAGATTTGTATTTAATTTTAATTTTCCTTATCCTTGTTTTTTTAAGATTTGTTGGCAACTCAGCTCTTTCCACGCATTTATAAGCATAAAAGGCGTAAATTTTTTAGATTTATTGGTTTGAAATTTCTCTGTGAATACTTTTGTGCGCATAGCAAAAAGCTGCATTCCATTTATAACTTAAAAATATGCAAACGCAAAAGTTTTCTTTGAATTAAAGTTGGCATTTTTTTCATATTTTTGGTCATATTTTTGCAGAAGTTTTGCTACGGATGTCTCTATAACTGTGTTATAGTGGAATTTCACAATTAATTAGTGCAAACGATGAATTCCTTACAATTTTAATTTAATGTTGCATAATTTCCGGCGTCATATTTCCAAAGCGGGAAAGCCTATAAAGCGCTAAAAGCGTATAACGCTGAAATATTTTATTTGATATATAGTATATATATAGTTTTCAAGATTAGTGTGCTCTAATGCATACATTCAGGCGCATTTTGTTAAAGTAAGCATTTGCAGATTTGTAGATATCAACTTTGAATTATTTATGTAATTTCTAATTTATGGATTGTTTTTTGGCTAGCTAGCTGCTGCGCTGTACGCTCTTTGGGCATACTTTTTCTAGTAAGGAAATGAAAATGTATACTTAAACGCACTGATAACTGTAAATCTGTAAACTAAATTTCATGCAACTACGTGTATGTGTGTATTGTCTGGAAAGTAAACGGAAAGTTTTAATTGAGTTCTTCTTCCTCTCGAAAGTAGTGCTTATACCGATTCCTTTTAATTTTCTTAGCATACTTCTCGGCGTGAGTTGGATGATGTTTTTTCGTATCAACTAATGTTTGTTTGGACGATAATAACTATTTTAATTGAATAAATAAATATCAACTAAATAAACAATTAAACTCCTGAATAAACAATTAAATATTTTTAATACTAAAAAAATGAGTGAAGAAAAAAAGATATTAGTAATAAAAATGAAAATAAACAAATAATAAAATAAAGAAAAATAAATAAGTACATTATTATGTGAATGAAATTAACAATAGATAAAGAAAAAAAATAAATGAAATAAATTAAGGAAGAATTAAAGAAATAAATAAGTGAGATGTTATAAATAAATATAAAAATAAAATAAAATAAATAAATAAAATGAATAAATAAATTAAAAATAAATAAATAAATAGCCGATAAAATAAATAAAATTGAATAAAAAATTAATAAATACCATATAAAAATAAATAAATAAATACAGTACATCATTAAATAAATAAATTTATAAATGAAATAAATAAGTAAATAAAAAATGAATAAATACATTAATGAAATAAATAAATAAACAACCGTTATAAATGTATAAAGTTGAATAAATAAATAAATAAAAGTAATAAATAACGAAATACCTTAATAAGCAGGGTCATTTATTAATTAAGTATCAGATAATTAAAAAATAAATACCATAAATAAATAAATAAATAAATATATAAATGAAATAAATAAAAAAATAACAAAATAAATAAATGAAATAAATATATACATAGATAAAAAAATAAATAGAATAAATAAATAAAAGTAATAAATAACGAAATACATTAAATATATTAATTAAATAATAGACAAATAAATAAAAAAAAAAATAAATAAAAAAATAAAGAAATTGATAAATAAATAAAAAAAAATATATGAAGAACCAAAAAAAAAAGTACATGTGGAGAGAGCACTAAAATCAGTGATTAATTAATTTTACTGATCGTCATGGACGAATAACATTAATATTGAACTTATGTACCTGTTGCTCATAGACACATTTGAGTTTTCTTATACTGGAAGCCTGCAGAAGAATTTACCTTTCTCTACATTCTAAAAATATAGACCAATATGATTAATCATATTCCTTCTGACGATCCTTCAGAAAATTCTCGATCCATAAATTTGAGGTAAAATAGGTAGGCTGAGCCTCATTAGTTAACTCTCTGTATACAGAGTTGGAGCTCTGAAGCATAACTAATTGGTATACCTTGGCAGTTTTTTGAGGATATAAGTAAAGCTTTCTATAATATCTCTAAAAAAGCAGTTGTGAGAATAACCTGAAATCTATTTAAAGTAATTGAATACTTATGAAGACGTCAGAGCTCTTGTA